GCAGGAGACAAATTGCTTGATCATTGTCTTCGGTCCACCCTCTCTGGGGCACCTGGCACTGGCCACTGTCGGCAGACAGAATACTGGGCTAGATGGACCTTTGGTCTGACCCAGTACAGCCGTTCTTATGTTCGAGTCTCCCCATCCTCCTCAGGTGAGGCAGCGGCCAGGAACAGGAACGTGACCAATTCCTGGGGATGAAGAATGAACATGCTGGGTAGGTTACAGGGTCAAATCCAGAAAGCCAGGTGGGGATGCCAAGAAGAGAACCACCGAGGAGACAGTGGATACCACCTATAGGAGCCCTGCCTAGAGGCATGCCTGGACGAGGGGCTGGAAAACACCACACCGTTGCAGAGGACCGACCTCCCTCCTTCTCCCTCCTCTTGGACAAAGGGGAGGACATCTTGGCCACTGCCGGGGAGGGGAGGGGGGGGTTTAAAGGTTGAGGAGGGAGTGGAACAGAAGCAGGATAGACAGGCCTGGGCAGTGAAGTCACTTGTTTACCCACACAGGGCACAGCGCTTTGAAGAGTTTTGGAGGCACACCCCAGCCTGCTGTGAGGAAAACCCAGCTTCTTGACCCAGCCAGTCCTTATCCTACCTGCTGACCACAAGGGTGCCAATCAGTGCCAGTCATGACAGCGTTCTCATGCTGTGGGTGTCTGCCTGATGAAAAATGGACTGATGGGATCGTGGGGTTCCCCAAGTCTTCCATTGAGACAGAGTCTGTCTGTCAATAGGCACACCCCAGCCTGCTGTGAGGAAAACCCAGCTTCTTGACCCAGCCAGTCCTTATCCTACCTGCTGACCACAAGGGTGCCAATCAGTGCCAGTCATGACAGCGTTCTCATGCTGTGGGTGTCTGCCTGATGAAAAATGGACTGATGGGATCGTGGGGTTCCCCAAGTCTTCCATTGAGACAGAGTCTGTCTGTCAATCCATCCACGCCTCCATCCCCCGAAGACTAGCCAAGCTCAGGACAAAGCGTGGGCTAAGAGTTGGGCGGTGGTGTTTGTTTGAATCAATCAGAAAGGTCAATGCCCGGGCGCGGGGCACACTTGGGCCAGCGTGTGCATGCGCGGCTTCAGGAGCCGGGTGGAAATGCCAGCCCTTGCCAGCGCTCGCAATCATTCCCTCGCGACTAGGGGGTGACAGCAGAGCGGGGCACAAGGATTGGCTGGGCATCCCGAAGCGCAGAGGCAAGATTCAAGACATGGCATCTTCCCGCAGCCCCTCGCTCCGTTGGAGGAGGCCTCTGCCGCTAGCAGTGGGAGCAGCTCCGGGAGCAGACTGGCTGCCTTTCTGATCCTGCAAACACCAGTGTGGAGCCAGATTCCCTTGGGGGTGTCACCTGACGGAAAACTCCAGAGATGCCAATGGAGCAATGTGGATTTACGCCAGCGGAGGCTCTGGCCTGAGGCGCTTCCCATCTGTGGTTCCCAGCCTTCCTCCTCCCTTCCCAAAGCACTGGTCGGGGGACACATCACAACCAGTGCCTGGTCTGGGGAACAGGTGGTGGAATCCTCTTACGCCTCTCTGCACACTGAGGTGCCTTCCGCCATGAGGCCGTGGGCGTAGGGACCCTGAATTTGAGTGCCCTGGGCCAGGGAGACAGTCCCAATCTTCGGCCTCCATGGAGAGGGAAGGCATCCGCTGGGAAAGTCTTGCTGCAGGGCCTGAGCGTGGCAGTGGCAGCCAAACACTCCCGAGCAGCCAGAGCTGACTTGGAGTGAAATAAATTGCTGCTTTAAAAAAAAAACCAGAGTGAAATAAACAAATGAATCCGGGAGCGAAATGAAAAGCTCGTCGGCGGACGAGATGGGGATGTGCGTGTGTGCGCCAAGCGTCTCGCGCCGGGTCACGTGAGAGCAACCAGGGAACTCGGCAGTTTGCTCAGGGGGAGGATAAACCAATCTAAGCAAACACCGCGCAATGCAAACAAACAGGCCTGTCTTAAATAGGATTAGCCTCTCATTTAATCCAGAGAACGTTTCCCGGCCGTTCCTTCTTTCCCGTCCCTGAATGGGATGATTTTGATTCTATTTTTGAGGGTTGGGGTGGGATGTGCAACGTGAGTTTGGGACGGGAGAGGCAAGGTCTGTGTCTTGTGGTATGCGTGGAAGGTGAGTGGTTGTTGCACGAGGTGTGGGGTGGGGTGGGGTGGTAGTTAGTGTGAGCAATGGGGATGGCTAGATACTTGGGAGGGTGTAGGATGTAGCTCTGTGGATATATGTGGGTAGCTGGGGGGTGTGGGTGTGCACGTGCACAGGCCTCTGGCTGATGTGTGAGGCGGGTGAGTGACACAGACTACAGCCTGCTAACTTGTGATGTGGGTGGGTAAATCCAAAAGGGTGTATGAGAGTGTGTGGTTGTGTTGCACAGGAGCCATTTGTGCTGGAGGCCTGTGGGATCCCACTCCACCTCCCTACCTTCAGCAGGTCCCTTTATCCTGCTTTCCAAATGCAGGAGCCAGGCCCATCCCTAGGGCAGCCCGTGTTGGTTGTCTGGATGCTCCTGGGGTAGGCAGGACTCACACACATCACCCTGTGCTCCCCAGGCGAAGGGTGTAGTGTGTACTTTGTGGGAAGCGTGTGGCCAGCCCGTAAAAGGTGTATGCAGAGTGTACTTCTGATGGGAGAGGACGCCTGTGGGAGGTGAGTGCGTGCGTGTGCCTATGGAGGGAAGCGCTGTGTGTGAGATGAAAGGACGGGTCTGTAGTTGTGGTGTATGGGAACGAGGAGTGCCCGGGTATGTGGATTTGTGGTGTGAGGGTGAGTTGTTTGTGTGTGTAATAAGAGCGTGTTAAGGCAGATGTTCAGGGGGGAGGGTATTTGAGATGTGGCGGGGTGATATTTGTGAGGTGAGTGAATGGGGGGGTGTTAGTGGAGGACTATGTGGTGCGTGTGCAGGAGATGGAAATGTTCGAGATGGGTGAGTCGGGGCGAAGCAGGGGGTTGGGTGTTCCCTCAGTGTGCGGTGTGCGTGGGTGGGTGGGAGGGAGATGGGAGGTGAGTAGGTGGTGGAGGCTGTGCTGGGACAGCTCCTTGTGTACATGTGGTTTGTGTGTGGCATGCCTCTACCGTGGGCAGACACTGAGTGTGGGAGGTGAGGGGCACGTCTGGAAAGACTCCACCGCTCTCTTGTCATGGTCTTTGTCTTTTGAAGACAGCCTAATGAGCGAGCGCTCGGGAGCCAGCCCTCTGCGCCGACTTGGAGGGGACAAATGTCAAATTAGTGAAGGACGAAAAAACAACAGGGTGTGGGGGAACGCGGCCGGCGCAATTAGTCATTCCACTCCTTTGCATTCATTGCAAATCAACAGCTTCAGCCGGTGGGGAGGGAACTCCTCCCACCCTCGCACACAAGCGGATGTCACCAGCTAGCACAATATAGACTGTCTGAATCTCTCCCTAGAAAACTCAGCTCGTGTGCTGGATTGGAGGCAGTGCAGCTCAGTGGCTAGAGCACTTGCCTGGGACTCAGGACATTAGCGTTCTAGTTCAAGCTCTGTCATTGGCCTGTTGGGTGACTTTGGGCACATCTCTTCCTTTCTTTGAGCCTCAGGGAACCCCTACACAGCATTGAAAACCTAGGTCAGAGAGCCCCAAGCTTGTAGGCCTGATGTTTCCCAGCTTGCAAATGTGGGCTCGCAGCAGCCGGACATGGGTCCACCACGCAGACCTGAATGCAGCTTAATCTATGTCCACACTGCAAAATGGCAGAGCTTGGATCTAAATCACAGTGGGATTTGGGCTCTGACCCACTCCTCTACCAGGATCCTGAGTGTCTGCTGACTCAAGTCAGACAGATTAGTCTGTGGCTGGAAAAGGGGCCTGGGTGCAAACCCGAGTTGGAGTCAGGCTTAGTGAGTAGATATCCCCTCAGTTTTCCCACCAGTAAAATGGACATAAATTGAATTCCTTTGTACATTACTTTGAGATCTGCCGATCAGAAGTTCTCTACAAGAGCTAGATGTTGTTATGCCTATCACACTTTGATTTCTCTCCATATCAGTAAGTATGGGATGACACCGGGCCAGCAAGTTCACATTAAGTTAAAAAAATTGTTTACTTCTCAGAAAACGTCCCCATCTTCTTCCCCCGCTTTAGCAAAATGAAACATCCCAAAGAATCGTTGCCATTATTGAAATTCTCCATTTTCACAAAATTTTCTGCAACACTTTTAATCAAAATTGTATGTGAAATTGCCATTGAAATGTTTCATTAAATGAAAACAGGTGATAGTAAGACTATATGGCTGTTGGCCCATGAAAAATGTGAACAATAGTTTCAGTTCAACTTTGTGAACCCTACTCTGTGCTGATTAGGCCTCAGTTGAATTATTGTGTGTAGTTCTGGGCACCACATTTCAAGAGAGATGTGAAGAAATTGGAGAGGGTCCAGAAAAGAGCAACA